ATATAGCGGGGTATGATATAGTGTGGCATGAAAGAGGGTGGTATGATGGAGTGTGGTATATTCAGTGCAGTATGTATGATCCAGTCAGGTACTATACAGTGTGGTATGGTACAGTGGGGTATGATACAGTGTGGTATGATACAGTGTGCTACGATATAGTTTGATATGATATAGTGTGGTCTGATACATTCTGGTACTGTACATTGTGGTATGGTACAGTGGGCCGTATGATACATTGTGGTGTGATGGAGTGTGGTGTGATGCAGTGTGGTATGATACAGAGTGGTATGGTATAGTGTGGTATAATACAGAGTGGTATGATATAGTGTGGTCTGGTCTGGTACAGTGTGGTATGAAACTTTGGGGTGTGATATAGCGGGGTATGATATAGTGTGGCATGTAAGAGGATAGTATGATGGAGTTTGGTATATTCAGTGTGGTATGTGTGATCCAGTCAGGTACTATACAGTGTGGTATGATACAGTGTGGTGTGATACAGTGTGATATGATAGAGTGTGGTCTGATACTGTGTGGAATGGTATAGTGTGGTATGAAACTGTGGGGTATGATATAGCGTGGTATGTTTTAGTGTGGTATGAAAAAGGGTGGTATGATGGAATGTGGTATATTCAGTGCGGGACATATGATACACTTTGGTACTATACTGCGTGGTATGGTACAGTGGGGTATGATTTTTAGGGTGTGAATGCAGTGTGGTGTGATACAGAGTGGTATGATCCAGTGTGATGTGATGGAGTGTGGTCTGCTACAGTGTTGTATGGTGAAGCGTGGTATGAAACTGTGGGGTATGATTTAGGGTGGCATGATATAGTGTGGTATGAAAGAGGGTGGTATCATGGAGTGTTGTATTCAGTGCGGTATGTATGATACAGTCTGGTACTTGGTTTGGTACAGTGGGGTATGATACACTGTGGTATGATGCGGTGTGGTAGATACTGTGTGATAGCGTATCATGGTGTGTCATGGCATGTTTGTTGTATCTGATGGTGTGGCATGGCATGATGTAACAACTCCTGGTGTGGCATGTTTTTCTTGTGCATGTCATGGAGTGGCATCTCATTGATTTTGCATGGCATGGCATGTCATGGCGTGGCATAGCATGGTGTGACATGTCATGAGGTGGCATGGCGTGGTGTGGCATGTCATGAGTTGGCATGGCATGATGTGGCATGGCGTGGCATGGCATGGTGCAGGCTGGCAGCAGCTGGAGGGAGGAGAAGAGAAGGAAGGCAAGGAGGACACTGCGGGAGGGAAGAGGATGGATGCGGAGTGTAGGTGTATGGCATGTAGCAACCATGCCGTCACACTGCTGTACATTTATTTCTTCAACTTGTGAAACGGCATGAGTCTGCTCAGAGCTCAATGTGTTTTCATGGTAAAACAATGTACATACCTTATGCGCCCCATGTACGGTACTGTAGCTCTGGCATTCAAATATTACTGTTTGTGTCTTGTGTAGCCTTTGTAATGTTCCTACAGTGAATATTGGCGCCAATGCTCCAACAGCCATGGTTCACAATTGTGGTACCAGTATATTCCTGGTCCGCCCAGTGATGTTGTTGACTCGTTCAGTGTACTTATTATACTGCTATATGTAGTACATTGCAGAATATCGTAAGTACAGTTGGAGTAGTGTAGTAGGTGTTCAGCCCAACGTTACACCTTCAACCCAGCCAGGCTATCTCATCCGTTACATGTTATGCATGCCAGAGGTACTACCAGGAGTGTCCAGGATCCATGGCCATGCCATTCCGTATTGGCTTGCACACGCACTGCCTAGTACCTACCAGATACCACCAAGTAACTGGAAATCAGCCACTCAAATCATTTGTGGATGAACCTAATCCTGGTGTAGTAACAACCGTCTTTGACTGCAACCAAAAACCAACCAAGAAACCAACAGGAACACTGCCTCCTCTCCTCTCCCACCCTGCATCCAACCTCTAACTTCAAGCCCTTTCTCCCCCAACCCAACTCCCACCCCCTCTTAACCCCCACCCTTCACCCTCTTTCCCCAACTCCCTCACCCCGAAAACCCCCTGCGGTACTTGCCCTTGCCCACCACACCCCACGGCAGGCGCCCTGAGAAAAGCTGCGAGGAGCACGTGGTGAAGAGTGCAGCCATCTCTTTACACCCACTGGGATACGGCACCACTCGCACAAACGGGTCTCTCAGCCTCCGCTTCTGCCCCAACGCCCCCCCGCACCCGTATGGCTCCTTTTCAAATGCTGCGAGCGTGCGCGCCTCCCCTTTGGCTGCGGATTCGCGGGCTGACTCGGCGATGGGCGAGCCGAGAAAGGAGAAGCGGTGCGAGGGGAAGCGCAGCGCCCCGCGGTGCATCTGAGAGAAGCGGAACTTCTTGAAGTCGTAGCTCACGACCTGAGGGGGTATAGGGGTTAAGGGAGGGGGGTCGAGAGAGGGGGGATGAGAGAAGGAAAGGAAAGGGTGTTGGGGGCGAGAGGAGGAGGTGAGAAGTGGAGGGAAGATGGAATCAGGGATTAGCAGAGGAGCAGAGGATTGCGAACATTACATTGACATGATACTGCTGAGCACAGCGCCACGCACGTACAGTGATGTTGTTGGGATATGCCCCTGTGAGTTGGCGGAAGCGGCACACGCTGAACAGCAGGTTCTCAAAGCTGTCCCTCGCATACTCCTCTGTCAGCGCCCTCCCTCTTACTTCCGTGTGCCCTGCGCTCACATGCCATGCGTTCATGAGCCATGCATTCAGATGCCATGCATTCACATGATATGCGATCAGAGGCAGCATGGGGTAGGGCAAGGTTGGAGAAGGGCAATAAGGACCAAATTCAGCGCATCTACTCCCCAACCCCTAATCACTTCACCACTTCCGAACCTTTCCATTCCATTTCGTTCCTCTCTCCTTTCCTCACTTCCTCTCTCTGGACAAGCCCCCCAGTCCCCTTACCAAACCAGCTCAGTTTCTCCGCAGCGTTCCAGTAGCTCTGCGCCTCGCTCCGCGGCCCCGCATCCCTGCGCGTCTCCCCGCCACTGAACAGCAGCAGCGCGCTGCTATCCTCCGCCGCGGCCGACACTCCGAGTCGTATATGCTCCACGAACGACGACGCGGCGCCGGAATTCAGCTGGTACGGCTCGAGATGCCATGACTGGTCCGCATCTAGCGGCGCACAAGACGGGCTGGTGTACACAGAGTGACCAGCGACGAGGATGAGGTTAGTGAGCGGAGCGAAGGGGAACGGGGACAAAGGGTCCGACGCTACTCCCTGCTGCTGCTGCGCGTCCGATGCGGCTGCGCCGTCGATGGCGGAATCGGCAGCGGAGCGGGTGAATCGGAATCGCGGGAGGGGAATGAGGGCGTGCGTGAAGTGCGTGAGCGACGCGAGGCCGATGACGACCAGCAGAGCTATGACGAGGAAGGGGTAGAAGAAGCGCGGGGACGGGGTGATGAGGGAGGAGACGAAGGAGAGGACGGGGGACGAGGGGAGGTTATGCGAGTGGTGCGCGTGGCGACCGTGGTGCGTAGAGTGGTACAGATGATGGAAGGTGCGGCGGCTGCGGTGCGGATTCCCTTGCGGGGACATTCCTGACGGCAGCATCGTGACTCGTGACGCTGGAGTGCGGACGGCTTAGATTGGATCGTATCGGATTCGAGCAAATTAGATCGACTTGGATCAAATCACACCAATTTCCTGGCGTCGTACTCCAACCGGACACGCCAGTACGGAGATAAAATCTTTGCGTCAACGAAACGACGCCCTCATGAATGACTTGACTCTGGCACATCACTAGTAGTGCGTCATAAGCAGGACTGACGGCCATTCGTCAGGTTCGGAGCTATTGCTTATCGCTCTTCCGAGATCTCGACCCTCTTGAATAAAAAAACGGTACCCGCGTCTCTCCATGAAACGGCCTCATGACGAAGCGAAAGTAGCACACGATCCTCCTAAGCTCCAAGCATCGGAATTTCCCGCAATGATCAATGCTCGTGATAGGGCACAATTGGAGATAAATATTGCAGTGAACAGCTAGTGTGCGACAATGGTCCAATTTCAGAAAGCGAGGTCCTAAAGCTAAGAAGCGTGGAAAGGTGTTGCGAGATTGGACTGACTGCTCAGATTCGCGCAAAGCAAATGCATACTGTATTGTGTCAAGTGAATCGCGAGGCTAATCGAGAGGCAACGATCAAGCACGAAACAATTGTCAGTGGTGTGTGGGAGAAAGCTGCTGATGGCGAGGAAGGACGAGAGGAAGGAGGAGAGTCCTCAGAAAACTTCAACAACCAATGATCGGACGGCCCTAAATCAGGGATGAAGCAGTGATTGGTCGAAGGCACTTTGCGGTTCGGATGGGCCTAGAAGTTGACATGGTTCCACAGCTCTGTACTCGCTCCACGGTGGCTCGCCAAAATGCATTGTACGATCGAAGGGCATTTTCTTACGATCGAAGCCCACATTCTAATTCTGATGTATCCGCTGATGGTTGGTTAAACATGTTCACTAGGGAAATTTATTATGTTACATGTTCTACTGTCGGAATGTGACTCCAAGGACCTGGGTCATTTTTTGGCGCGAAACTCTTGCACAGGGAGCTCTCAAGGGTGCAACCCAGAGAACTGCGTCACAGGCTTGCAGGAAGCATGGATTCAGTTGTGCTAGAAAGCCACCACTGTGGCTATCTCACCTCGCTGCATAGGACACAGCAGCGTGGGAAAATGGAGAGAGCTGGAATATTACATCCTCTCACGCAACGCTGGGCTTGAGATGAAATTGCCATCTGACCGTGCAGCTTACGCTTATTGTAACATTAAAGAATCCTTCTTGTAAATCATCTTGTCGCATTCGTGAATTCGGGTCCTGCCGATGCGGCACCTCCACTTTCTTGCTAGTGTTCCGACAGAGCAGTTTCGATCCAGTAGGCGAGGACACACGACAGCTGCTCTTACTCTCCAATAATTCAATACGAACTACACCGCATACTCGCTGTAGGCGACCTTGAGATGTCTTATTATAAAAAGGACCGCTCCGCGCAAGGCAGTGCTCGAGCTGGGGGCGGAGCAGCAGGCGGCGGGGGAGGGGGGGACGGCAGAAAAGCATGGGGAGGGCGGCGCGGGATGGGGCAAGGCGCGAGCGGCGGCGATGACGAGGTGGAGACGGCTTTTGGATTCGTTAATTTCACGGATGGAGATCCGCGGCTCGGATGGCTGCTAAACATGAGCTCGGTGAGGAGAACAGTTTCGTCACAGGAGGGATTGAGTGCTGGGAGGTGGAGTATTTTGGATGGTTTCTGTCGTGCAGACGAGTCCGCAGGAGGAATGGCCGTGGCTGAGTATTGTAGGCATAGAAAGGGGTGCTGGATTCAAGCCGAGGGAGGACGAGGACGATCGCAGGCGTCGCTGTTAGGCATCCCGATCTGATATCTTCTGACAGCCAATCTCGCGTGTGTTTCTTGATTGCGCGCTCCTGCTCGTGCGTGTGAACATTCAGGCATCGGTGGAGGAGCCCGAGACGTCCACTATGTGCAGCTGCGTGAACCTCTACTTCATGTGCCAGGTGCTGCGTCACGCTCGCTCGCTGCTCTCACTCTCGCCACATGCACGCATTCGCACTCCTTCACATGGATCGGGCATAAGTCGGGCTTGTTTTAGTTTCATCTGTGCATGCGTGGGTGGATGCCTGGATGGCCAGTGGGTCGGTTGGATGGACAGGTGGTTGGCTCGCAGGCTCGATGGATGGATGGATGGATGGGTAAAAGGATGGATTGATACGTGCTTGTTTGCCTTGCAAGGATCATGCTGGCTTGCAGTCATCTCTGACGGCAACATCTTTCCAGACTCACAGCTTCACTCTCAGTTGTCTGACCATGATTGCCTGTCGGAACCTGATTGCCCATCCCCTCTCTAACCACCACCAGAACGGCTCCACGTTCAAGGCACAAGTCAAATATGAGCCATACTTCTATATTGCCGCCAAGGTAATACTCGTATTTTTATTTTCAATGCAACTGGTATGTTTTTTTCCCCCCATGATTCCTTCCATTGCAGCATGGCTGAACATCTTGGCTTAGCCAGCTCAGTTCATAGTATTCTGAGTAACATGAAAGTGTGTGTGTGTTGTGTGTCCGTACGCATGTAAATGCGTGTGTGAGTGTTTGAATATGTTTGGGTATGGATGTGTGTGTGTGCGTGCGTGCTTCTGTGTGTACGTGTGTGTGTGTGTGTGTGTGTGTGTGTGTGTGTGTGAGTGAGTGCACGCATCCACATGGGGTGGCAGGAGCGCAAGGAGATGGAGGTGGACGCGTATCTCCGTCGCAAGTACGAGGGCCTCATCACGGGCATCGAGGCCGTGGAAAAGGAAGACCTGGATCTTGTACGTGCTGCATGCGTGTAGTCTTCGCCGGGACTGGGGCACACGTCACACACCACAGTGGATGTTGTTTCTGGTGCCTGTGCTGCAGAATGATTTGAGTACGATACGATGCAGGCAGATACAGCGCTGTGGCGTCTATTTTCACTTGTCTTGTTGCATGGCAAGCTCACCATCTAACGACCACACCCTTCTTCTCCCGCATCTCCTCCTGTACTGCTCCTCCCCCCTGCATGCTCTGGCAGCCGAACCACCTGTCAGGGCGGCGGCGTGTGTACCTGAAGGTGTGCTTTGCGAACGTGCAGAACCTGATGGAGGTGCGCAAGGATGTGCTGGCTGTGGTGGAGCGCAACAAGACCCGCGCACAGGCTGCCGGCGCGTACGGATCATTCGAAGGCATCAACCTCTCGCTGCTGTGAGTCCTGCTGCGACCCCCCCCCTTGCTGCTGCTGGTTCGTTCCACTCTTACACCCCACCTTTGCTGCGACTGCTGCTGGTGCTGCTGCTGCTTTGCCACTGCTGCTCTCCCTGTGGCTGCCACCACCGCCGGCCGCAGCCACTTGTGGTGCGGCTGCTATGCCACCAGGCAACTCATCTCCCTCAGTGCTGTTTTCTCCCCCTGGTTCCAGCACAGGGGCGACGGGAATGAGTGGGGCAGGGAGCGGCATGGGGTCAGGGTACGGGCAGCAGTACCTGCATGCGACGGCGGAATCCCACAAGGCGGTGCATGCTGGGCTGCAGCAGGAGGGTGCTGAGTCGCTCATGGTGGACATTCGTGAATACGACGTGCCCTACCACATGCGCTTCGCCATTGACAAGAGTAGGTTCCGTTCAATTCTGTCCCACCCAACGCCTGCTTGACAGCCGCAACGCAACTTTACTTCACCGTTAGAGAATCTCCTTTGGGGGGAGTGAGATGCAGTTTGCGCACTGTTTTGCTTCTGCTATGTGTCATCGAGCTGGTGGGCTTGCCTCACCATGCAGTCGTTCTGCCTTCATTGCCCTTGTTGTTGACCTCCCGTCGCTTTCATCCTCCCTCACTCTCACACCCTTCACCACCCATCACCCTTCTTGCTCTCTCTCCACCCCTGCACCGTCTCACTCACCCCCACCCTTTTTTCCTCATCACAATTTCTTCCTCTCTCGCCCCTCCTCTCCTCCCGCCTCTCGCCTCGATCCGTCCTTTCGCCTCTCTCTCCTCCCCTCTTCCCGCTTCTCCCCCTCTTCCCCCATACACCCCGTCCGGCGTGGCGAGCAGACGTGCGGTGCGGGTGGTGGTTCACAGTGGCCATAGACGCGGGCAACATCACGCTCACGCACCGCCCGGACCTCATCCGCAGCCCTGAGCCGCGAGTGTGCGCATTCGACATAGAGACCACGAAGCTGCCGCTCAAGTTCCCCGACGCGTCCTTTGACATCATTTTCATGCTCTCCTACATGATCGACGGCAAGGGATACCTGCTCGTCAACCGGGAAGTGAGTCTGCCTGCATGCACGTGCAGCAACGACTTTTGAGTTGACTCAAAAGCCGGCGCGTCCTTTTACATCATCTTCATGCTCTCCTACATGATCGATGGCAAGGGCTACCTGCTCGTCAACCGTGAGGTCAGTCTGCCTGTCTGCATGCACGTGCAGCGATGAATTTTGAGTTGACTCAAAAGCCGACGCGTCCTTTGACATCATCCTCACGCATCGAATATGATCGACGGCAAGGGCTACCTGCTGGTCAACCGCGAAGTGAGTCTGCCTGCATGCCCATGCCGCAATGCCTGTATCGCTCATGAGAATCATTCAACTTTTCATGATGTCTGCTACATGCCACAGTATGCTAGTCGTGCTGCCCATTTTCTCCCTCAACCCGTCAGGTGGTGGGCGAGGACATAAAGGACTTAGAGTACACGCCCAAGCCGGAGTTCCAAGGGCCGTTCCACGTGACCAACGTGGAGAACGAGGAGCAGCTGCTCAAGCGCTGGTTCGCCCACATGCGCGCTGAGCGCCCAGGCATATATGTCACGTACAACGGAGACTTCTTTGACTGGCCGTTTATCGAGCAGCGCGCTGCTACACATGGCATGTCGCTGCTGCAGGTGTGTGTAAAGGGTGGGGGGAGAGGGGGGAACGGTTGGGGGGGGAAGGTGGGGGGAGTGGGGGGAAGGGGGGGGGGAAGAGAGGGGGGTGGGGGAAGAGGGGGTGTGCGTGTGTGCGTGCGCATGATTGTGTCTGTGTGTGTCTGCGTGTGCGCGCGTGTGTGCCGTGTGCCTCTCTTTTCCTTGCGTGTCCCCTGCATGCTGTGTGATGTGATGTGTGCGTGCGCCTCTGCCCCTGCAGGCTATCGCCTTTGCGACTATGTGACTCTTGTTGCACGCAATGTAAGGCACACTTTTTCTCCCTTCATTCTCCTCCCCTCCTCCCTCCCACTTCTTTCTTTCCATTTTCCCGTCTTTCCCCTCCATGCCATCACCCCTTTGCTGTCTTTCTATGCACTACTGCTCATCCTACCGCCCACCTAATCTCTTCCTCTCTTGCTTCTCCTCTTCCCGCTCCCCCCACTTCTATGTATCCCCCCTCCTCCACGCCCCGTGCTTGTCCCCTATGCGTCCAACAGGAGATGGGGTTTAAGTGCGACGCGGTGAGTGGGGAGTGCCGCTCCCGCTTTGTGTGTCACCTGGACGCGTTTGCATGGGTGCGCAGGGACAGCTACCTGCCGCAGGGGTCGCAGGGCCTCAAGGCAGTCACGAGGGCCAAGCTGGGGTATGACCCCCATGAGGTGGATGCAGAGGACATGGTGCGATTTGCACGTGAGCAGCCGCAGGTACAAGGGCGTGGCGTGGGGAAGGGGGTGGAATGAGGTGCTGGAAATGGGGCAGGACGGATTGGAGACGTGGGGAGGAAGCGGGAGGGAGGGGGGGTGGGTTATGAAGGAGGGGAGGGAGGCTATGGGGAAGGGGGGGTAGTTATGGTGGAGGGGGGAAGGTTGTGTGGGGAGGTTTGGCCATTGCTATTCTTCTCCATCTTTGCACCTTGTTGTTCTTGCTACCTTTGACCGATCTGTATGGATTGCATGCTCACCCATTTCCTTGTTGACTGTGTACAGTTCTTTCCATTGCCCTCTCGCACCATCTTGCCTCGCTCCCGATCCCACCCCTTTGCTCCACGGCCCACCACACTCCACCCTCTTCTTTATGTGATGGATATCATATTCAGTATCCGGCCCCTGTTTTTGCAACACCAGACTCAACTTACTCTCCACCCCACCCCACCCAACCCCACCCGACCCCTTCCCAACCCGTCCCACCCCACCCCACCCCACCCGACCCCATCCCACCCCACCCGCCCACCTCACCCCACCCCGCCCTCTCCAGGTGATGGCGTCCTATTCAGTGTCAGATGCACTGGCAACGTACTTTCTGTACAAGACGTACGTGCACCCGTTCATCTTCTCGCTCGCCACCATCATCCCCATGCCGCCCGACGAGGTCCTGCGCAAGGGCTCCGGCACACTCTGCGAGACACTGCTCATGGTCGAGGTGAGTGAGGCGTGCTGTGCGGTGCAGTGCGGTGCTATGCGCTGCTGTGCGCTATGTGGTGCCGTGCCGTGCCGTGCTGTGCTGGTTCCATGTGCTGCCATACATCTCCCCCCCCCTCCCCCCGGTATTCGTGTTTTGACTAGACTACCGTTGACCATAAAACATAGTGTGTCCCAACCCAACGGCATCCCTGCTGGCAGAGCGATTCCTTTTCACACCTTATCCCTCGCCATGTCCCTTCCACTCCCCTCCGCTCCGTCCCTCCTTCCCCCTGTCTCCCCCCATCCCTCCCCTCCCCCCCTTTCCCCCAGGCGTACTGCAGCAACATCGTGTGCCCCAACAAGCACGTGGATGCAGTGTTTTGAGATGACTCAAACCCTTCTTCAATTACGTACTGCAGCAACATCGCGTGCCCCAACAAGCACGTGGATGCAGCGGAGCGGTTCTGCTTCACACCTTACCCTCGGCATGTCTCTTCCACTCCCCTTCCCCACTGTCTCCCCCCCTCCCCCGCTACCCCCATCCCCACCGCCCCAGGCGTACCGCAACAACATCGTGTGTCCAAACAAGCACGTGGATGCAGTGGAGCGGTTTCACGGCAACCGGCTGCTGGAGAGCGAGACGTACATCGGGGGCCACGTGGAGTGCCTGGAGAGCGGCGTCTTCCGCTCCGACATCCCCACCAAGTTCCGCCTGCACCCCCCCGCCTACCAGGTGCTGCGCCCGCCCGCTTGCTGGTTTGGGGTTCTGGGGGTAGGGTGGGAGTGGGGATGGGTGCGGGGTAGGGGTGGGGGTAGGAGTGACGGTGGGAGTGTCTGGTTGAGTGGGATGACATGCTTCTCTTCTTCCTTTACTTTCCCTGGTCCCTGGTCCCTGGTTTCTGATGCTGATGCTGATGCTGATGCTAATATGCTGATGCTGATATGCTGATGATGATATGCTGTTGCTGATATGCTGATGCTGATATGCTGATGCTGATATGCTGATGCTGATGATGATGCTGATATGCTGATGCTGATGCTGATGCTGATGCTGATTTGCTGATGCTGATGCTGATGCTGATATGCTGATGCTTATGCTGATGCTGAGGCTGATATGCTGATGCTGATATGCTGATGCTGATATGCTGATGCTGATGCTGATGCTGATATGCTGATGCTGATGCTGATGCTGATATGCTGATGCTGATGCTGATGCTGATGCTGATATGCTGATGCTGATATGCTGATGCTGATATGCTGATGCTGATATGCTGATGCTGATGCTGATGCTGATATGCTGATGCTGATGCTGATGCTGATATGCTGATGCTGATGCTGATGCTGATATGCTGATGCTGATATGCTGATGCTGATGCTGATGCTGATGCTGATGCTGATATGCTGATGCTGATATGCTGATGCTGATATGCTGATGCTGATGCTGATGCTGATATGCTGATGCTGATGCTGATGCTGATGCTGATATGCTGATGCTGATATGCTGATGCTGATATGCTGATGCTGATATGCTGATGCTGATGCTGATGCTGATATGCTGATGCTGATGCTGATGCTGATATGCTGATGCTGATGCTGATGCTGATGCTGATATGCTGATGCTGATATGCTGATGCTGATGCTGATGCTGATGCTGATATGCTGATGCTGATATGCTGATGCTGATATGCTGATGCTGATGCTGATATGCTGATGCTGATATGCTGATGCTGATATGCTGATGCTGATGCTGATGCTGATGCTGATGCTGATGCTGATATGCTGATGCTGATATGCTGATGCTGATATGCTGATGCTGATGCTGATATGCTGATGCTGATGCTGATGCTGATATGCTGATATGCTGATGCTGATGCTGATGCTGATATGCTGATATGCTGATGCTGATGCTGATGCTGATGCTGATGCTGATGCTGATATGCTGATGCTGATATGCTGATGCTGATGCTGATGCTGATATGCTGATGCTGATGCTGATGCTGATGCTGATATGCTGATGCTGATGCTGATATGCTGATATGCTGATATGCTGATATGCTGATGCTGATGCTGATGCTGATGCTGATGGGCGCGCTGCACGAGGACCTGGTGAACACGCTCAAGGAGATCTCTGAGGCACCTCAATAACCTTTCCCTTAATTTCCCCTTCGCCCTCTTTCCCCGTCTCTCCCTTTCTCTCCGCCTCTCTCTCTGCACGTGTGGCCATCAGATGCTGATGGACAAGCTGGACGAGGACCTGGTGTACGCTCTCAAGGAGGAGGGTGGCATGGCCGTGGAGGATGTCAGCAATTATGAGGACGTCAAGCAAAGCATTGTTGATAAGGTGTGGCGAGGGGTTGTGAGGGGTGACAGGGGTTGAGAGGGGGTGAGAGGGGATGGGAGGGGTTGAGGGTGGTTGAAAGGGAATGAGAGGGGGATGAGGTGCTAGTGTGGATAGTGTTGATTTCCTGCCATGACAGCAACCTATTTACTCTTTGTATCCATGAGGTTCTTCACCCGTCAACACCACACACACCACTTTGGCCGCACCCAGTACCCGCTCTTCTTCCCACACCCACACACCCTGCCCTCCTTGCATTTTTGCTTCTCTCTCCCTGTCTCCTCCTCGCCTCTCTCCCCTGCAGCTGAGCGCCCTGCGGGATGCGCCAGTGAGGGAGGAGTGTCCGGTGATCTACCATTTGGACGTGGCCGCTATGTACCCCAACATCATGCTTACCAACCGCCTGCAGGTACGCCTTCTCACACACTTCAATAGCGACGATTAAGTTTCTAAAGTGCCGGGAAAGAGTCAACTTGTTTTCAGTTGCCTCAATAAGTCGCATATCACATCATGCTCACTATTGCATGCAGGCGCATGCGTGTGCTGCTGGGAGGGCGAAGGGGAAGGGTTTGAGTTGTTCTAGTGTCTCCATCCATGCCATTTCCGCCTGAACAATTACTCCTTCGCCACATATGCTCTAGTGAAATCTGAGAGAAATCTGAACTCATTGAATTTTGCCTATCCTTCCCATGCACCCCAAATTGCATGTGCAACTACCATCCCATGGCATGATGCCAGCCGCCATCGATAGTGACGGAGGAGGTGTGTGCAGCATGTGACTTCAACCGCCCGGGCAAGAACTGCCTGCGCCCGCTGGAGTGGGTGTGGCGCGGAGAAACATACACCGCCTCAAAGAGGTGAGCAGGAGGGGGTTGATGCATGCGTCCACGCGTGTATGCGTGCATCATGCATGTGTCCGTCCATGGATGTGTTGTGTGTATGCATGCGCGTAGGGATGCATCTCAGAACATGTTCTTGTGCCGCCCTCCCTTCCATCCCCTCTCCCCCCACAGCAAGTGCTATCAGCTGCGCAGCCATCCGCCTAACTTGTCTCTGTCCCTGGTCTTTCCCCCATCCCTCCTCACAACCCCCATCGCCACCACCCCCAGCGAGTACTATCAGCTGCGCAGTCAGATGGAGACGGAGCGCTTCCCCTGTGCGGCACACGGGGGGCAGGTGCGGTCGTTCCGCGAGCTGCCACTGCAGGAGCAGCAGGAGCGCGTCAAGGAGCGCCTCAAGAAGTACTGCCAGAAGGTGTGTGCACAGCGTGCCCGCAGGCACAGCACACCCATGTCGTCACCAAGTGGGTGTGCCCGCACAGCTTCTACTGGCGGCCACTGCAAAGCCCTGACAGACTTTCAAGTTCTTCCTTAGTCATCACATCCGAACCCTGTTATGAGTCCTATCACTAGCCTTCTCCCTGGCCGTGTCCCCGTTCCCCGTTCCCTGTTCCCTGTTCCCTGTTCCCCGTTCCCTGTTCCCTGTTCCCCGTTCCCTGTTCCCCGTTCCCCGTTCCCTGTTCCCCGTTCCCTGTTCCCCGTTCCCTGTTCCCCGTTCCCTGTTCCCTGTTCCCTGTTCCCCGTTCCCTGTTCCCCGTTCCCTGTTCCCCGTTCCCTGTTCCCCGTTCCCTGTTCCCCTGTTCCCGTTCCCTGTTCCCCGTTCCCTGTTCCCCGTTCCCTGTTCCCCGTTCCCTGTTCCCTGTTCCCTGTTCCCCGTTCCCTGTTCCCTGTTCCCTGTTCCCTGTTCCCCGTTCCCTGTTCCCCGTTCCCTGTTCCCTGTTCCCCGTTCCCTGTTCCCCGTTCCCTGTTCCCCGTTCCCGTTCCCCGTTCCCGGTTCCCTGTTCCCTGTTCCCCGTTCCCTGTTCCCCGTTCCCTGTTCCCCGTTCCCTGTTCCCCGTTCCCCGTTCCCCATTCCCCGTTCCCTGTTCCCCGTTCCCTGTTCCCCGTTCCCTGTTCCCCGTTCCCTGTTCCCCGTTCCCTGTTCCCCGTTCCCTGTTCCCTGTTCCCTGTTCCCTGTTCCCTGTTCCCCGTTCCCTGTTCCCCGTTCCCTGTTCCCTGTTCCCTGTTCCCCGTTCCCTGTTCCCTGTTCCCTGTTCCCCGTTCCCTGTGTCCATTTCTCCCCATCCCCCTCCCGCTCACCCCCACCGCCCCCCTCCAGGTGTACAAGCGGGTGGTGGACAAGCCGAAGGTGGAGGTGAAGGTGGCGGGAGTGTGCCAGCGGGAGAACTCCTTCTACATCGACACTGTCAGGAGGTACAGGCTACACGACGCACATGCCCTCCAGGAATGGGTGCGGGCATGGGCATGGGCATGGGCATGGGCATGGGCATGGGCATAGGCATGGGCATGGGCATGGGCATGGATTGGGGCACTTATGGGGGAGTGTGCATGGGTCACTGTTTGCAGGTGAAAGGGCCGCTGCTCACAATACCTCACATCCATTCTCCTCCATTCCCCTCCCCCCGTTTCCCCTCTCCCGCTTACCCCCACTTCCGCCACCTTCCCCACCCCCGCACACCTTCTCCTGCTGTAAACCCCACCCACCCCCTTAACCTCCCCCGGTCTCCTCCTCTGGGCACCCCTTATGTCGTGGGGGGCAGTTTCCGTGACCGGAGGTACGAGTACAAGGGGCTGAACAAGAAGTGGAAGGGCAAGCTGGGAGACGCCAAGAAGTCTGGCAACGCCTTTGCCATCCAGGAAGCTCAGGTGGGTGGGGTGTGGGGAGGGGGGAATTCGTGGTGAGAGCAGACTGTGTGGGGTTTGAGTCAGGCGCATGCGTGGAGTCGCTTGCTGGGGTGAGAGGTTGCAGATGAGGGTGATGCTGGTCGATGGGGTGGTGCGTGCAGCCCATGCATGCATTCATGCTGTGGCACGGTGTGGTGTGGTGGGGCGTGGCATGGGCTCTTGTGGTGCGTGACCCTGCCGGTTTAGCCTTGCTTGCTCTAATGTCGAGGGTTTCCTCTTTCTCGCATCTCTTGTTGACCTCCCGTAGAGTATGCGTGAATCGATGCCCCAGGAAAGCCGCCGCCTGTCTAACCTCTCTTCTCATGCCTGTGGGCACTGTGCATGGCTTTGCGCGTCTGTGTGCTCTCTTCTGCATGTGCGGCTGTGTGTTACCGTATGTTATTTGGCTGTGTGAATGCTATGTGTGTGCATGAAATGGGGGCGGGCCGTGCTGAATGCATGCTGCATGCGCGCACACATGCTCACACCGATGCTCACACATGCACGCATCCATTCATGCACACATTTACACAAACATGCACGCACCTGCACATGCATGGCAACAGGACATGGTGGTGGTATACGACTCACTGCAGCTGGCGCACAAGTGCATCCTCAACTCCTTCTACGGCTATGTCATGCGCAAGTATGCCCCCAATATCCCCAACGCTCTCCTCTGGATGTCCCCATGCCTCTGCGCATATGTTATCTGCGCGGCACATGTTCTGAAACCTCCAGTCCCGTTTATTCCTGATCATGTATGGACTCCGCACAACTACCCTGCCCTGCAACAATCATTCCGTCCCGCTTCCCCCCTCCCCGTCTCTCTGTACTCCGCCTTGATTGCAGGGGAGCGCGATGGTACTCGATGGAGATGGCGGGCATCACGACATACACGGGCGCCAAGCTCATTCAGAGTGCGCGCGAGCTGGTGGAGCGCGTGGGCAAACCCCTGGAGCTCGACACAGACGGCATCTGGTGCTGCCTCCCCGCCTCCTTCCCCCAGGACTTCTGCTTCACTCCCAGGTGCATGGGAGGGGCACGCCCGGGTGGTGGGACTAGAGGGGGGAGGAGGAGAGGGGGAGGGAGCTTTTGTGGTGCATTGTGTGTGGCAGTTTAAGAGCATGGGTGGATGGGGGGACTGGGACATGTATGCAAGGGTGACTGTGTGTGAGGGTGGGGTAGGGGTGTTGGTTTAGCCTGGGTCGTATCTTCTCTTTCCCCACACCCCATTCCCACTGCTCTCTTGCTCTCGCACACACATATCCACTGCATGCTTATCCTTCCCAGTGTCCTTGTTTCTTCTCCTTCATTTTCCTCTGCCCCTCTGTCCCTTGTCCCCCTGTCCCTCCATCTCTCCGCCTTGTGGCATGGGCAGCAAGCCGGGCGGCAAGAAGCTGACGATATCGTACCCATGTGTGATGCTGAACGCGGATGTGAAGAAGCATAACACCAACGACCAGTACCAGGTGGGGATGCTGCTGCATGCGGTGGAGAGTAGCACCACACTGGGTCTGCACTCTTGAATGTGCACATACCATGCCATGTACATGCATGGCATACGCGTGCATGCCACGCCCACCTTTGCGATGTTAACCCAATCATCCCATGCGCTGTCCGCACAGACATTGTCAAAGCGCTCTCACCACACCTGTCACTTTATCGCCTAACCCCGCTCTGCCCCACCCCAACCTCTCCCCCACACACCGTCTCTCTTCCTCGCTCCTGTGTGGGGCAGACGCTGGTGGATCCGGAGAGTCGGCGCTATGAGGTGGCGAGTGAATGCTCCATTGCGTTCGAGGTGGATGGGCCCTACAAGGTGCGTGGACCACTTTGCACACATGCTCGCACAGGCACCTGCACATGCACACACACACACCGGCACACATGCACACACACACACGGGCACACATGCACACATACGTACATGCATAAGCACCTGCAAACGCATCCTCTTCCCCCCACTCCCCCATCCCCCCTCCCCCTCCCATACAGGCGATGATTCTCCCAGCGTCCAAGGAGGAGGGAGTGCTTCTGAAGAAGCGCTACGCCGTGTTCAACCTGGACGGCTCTCTGGCGGAGCTCAAGGGCTTTGAGCTCAAGCACACGCACCCCTTCCCCTCCCCCCTCTCTCCCTCCCCCTCCCATACAGGCGATGATTCTCCCTGCATCCAAGGAGGAGGGCGTGCTGCTGAAGAAGCGCTACGCCGTCTTCAACCTGGACGGGTCTCTGGCGGAGCTCAAGGGCTTTGAGCTCAAGCGGCGAGGCGAGCTGAAGCTGATCAAGGTGTTCCAGTCCGAGGTCTTTGAGTGCTTCCTCGCTGGCTCGTCGCTGCCCGAGTGCTACGCTGCTGTGGCAGCCGTCGCCAACAACTGGCTCGACATGCTCGATGTACTGCTGTGGGCTGAGCTAGTGGGTGCGCGGTGGGGGTTTGCAGGGATTGAACTTCTGAGTCGACTCAAAAGTCGCTACGCTGCGGTGGCAGCCGTCGCCAACAACTGGCTTGTCATGCTCGATGTACTGCTGTGGGCTGGTTTGGGCTGCTGGATGGGGGGTGGGGGTTTGCAGGGATCGGACGACGGGTTGGGTCTAGGAGTGGGGAAGTAGGTTTTTGGTAGGGGGTTTAAGTTGAGGGGTTTGGTGAAGTGGATGTGTCATGCCAAGAGACAATTCCGTCCTTCTCTAAGCGACCCGTTTCTTCCATCAAAACTTTTCCCCTTCCATACCTCCCTCCCACGTTCACCCAAGTCTCATACGTCCAGTCGCACCCCTTGTCCTTCTCGCTCTATCCTTGTGACCCCAGAGTCGTGGGGCAGGGCTGGAGGAGGCGGAGCTTCTAGAGCACATCAGCGAGTCGTGCACCATGAGCAAGGCCCTGGAGGAGTATGGCGGGCGCAAGTCCACTGCTGCTACCACCGCCATGCGCCTCGCGGACTTCCTGGGCGAGGCCATGATCAAGGACAAGGGGCTCAGCTGCAAGTACATCGTTGCTAAGTACCCTGCTGTGAGTACTGCCTGCTGCCTGTGGGGCCGTGGGAAAAAAGGGGAGAGGGCGGGGAAGGGGAGGAGAGAGAGGGGAAATGGGAAGGTAGAGCGTGTCTGGGTGTGGAATGCTTGTTGGATGCATGTGGTTTGTTCCATGTTCAGTGTTCCTTGTATATCCCCCCCCTGCGTTTTTCCACTCTCCCCTTCCCGCGGTGACCCCTGCTCTCTGGTTCCACTTATATTCCGCCATACGCCTGTGCCCCAGTATCCCGTCTGCATGTCTCACCCGAGTTCCCTGCTCCCCTGCCTGCTTCCTCCACCCAGACATCTCCTGTGAGCGAGAGGGCCATTCCTGTGGCAATCTTCAATGCCGAGCCAGGTGAGACACCCATTCCCTGCTGCTGCTTCTGCTGTCGCCTCCATCCCCACCGCCGCTGCTGCCTGTGCATCAGTTGATTGTCCACCACTCCTCTTGTTATTCTGCAATGCCCTGATTTCACAATGCTCTCGCAGTCGCAGTGCCCTTTTTTTGCAACTCACACGACCAATATCGTTTCAACAGCCCTCTCACCCGCGTGCCTGTCCCATATGCATTGCCATTTCCCATCCGCACTCCCGCACCTCCCTCGCGTGCCTCCCCGTGGGCCAGAGGTGATGCGGGTGTACCTGCGCAAGTGGTGCAAGGAGGCGCACGGCCCGTTGGACGTGCGGGGCATAGTGGACTGGGACTACTACCGCCAGCGCCTCTCCTCCGCCATCCAGAAGATCATCACCATCCCCGCCGCCATGCAGAAGGTGCCATGCAAGCCCATGGGTGCCTTGGATTGGAACTCACCATACACTCGTGCTGCCAGGCACAAGGTGTGCGTGGCTTGCTCGTCTTCTCATCCGTCTCCACTCTTGCTCTGATTTCCCCTCCCCCTTCCCTCCCTCCTCGCTCCCCTCCTCCCTTCCCCCTTCCCTCCCCCCTTTCATTCTCCCTCCCCCGTTTTTTCCCCCACACACGTGCTCGCCCATGCAAAACGGTGCAGGTGAAGAATCCAGTGCCGCGTGTGGCGCACCCTGACTGGCTGTCCAGGCGTGTGCGGCAGCAGGAGGACCGCTGGCAGCAGCGCTCCCTGCGCGGCTTCTTCTCCGCCTCCCTCGCCCCCGCTGCTGCTGATGCCACCGCTGCCGCTGCAGATGGTGCTGATACCGCTGCTGCTGCTGACGTAGGCGGTGGTGGGGATGCCAATGCTAACGCATCTACTGGCCAAGATCCGGGTAGAGAAGTGGCACATGGTGCACCAGTTGACTTGGAGGATATTGGCGGGCGAGGGGGGAGAGGGAGGGAGGGCGGCACGCGTGCAGTGGTGAGGAGGCAGGTCCAGGCAAGGCTGGTGGTTCCGGAACGAGAGGGGGGGAGAGAAGGGGAGGAGGAGGAGAGGGAGAGGGTGGAGAGGAGGGGTAGGGAGGCGAGGGAGCGGAGTCCTGACCCTGGAGAGGACTATGGCAAGTGGTTGCAGCATAAGAAGAGGAAGTGGCGGCGGGCGTTGGAAGAGAGGAAGAGGCGCAGGTAGGGGTGATGTGTGGTTACAGGAGGTGTGAGGGCTGTGTGCTGCTATGTACGTGCTCTACCTTACAAAGCAACGCACCTCACTCTTGTACCTTCGTGTTTGAGCACCAAGGCAGGGAACTACCAGACGGGATTCACAATCTTTTCCTGCCACACCCTCTGTCACTGCAGGCAGGGTGAAGGGGAGGGGGGTGGCGGCGAAGGCATGGGGAGTGGAGCAGCGGGGACGCGCAGGAGGCTGGGAGTGAGTGGCATGCTGCGCCATGCAGACGATGCTCTCACGCGCTCGCACTGGCAGGTGGGTGGGCAGGGGGCTGAGAAGGAGAGGTGGACTGGCTGGTTGCAATGGGGATGCGGGGCAGTGGGGCGGGGCAATGGCGGACGAGGGACCTCAGGTGGTGCAGGGAATTCTGATTGTGTGCTTGCCTGCCTGCCAGCAATGCAGCACCAGGCAAACCAATCACTGTGTTCCACATACTCTCACCGGCCTCCTCCATCTCCCATCATTGAGCCTCCCAGCCGCTCATCTCCAACTCCTCTCCTCACCAACCCTTCTCTGTGCCCTCGTCCTGCAGATTATCCAAGTGACGCCCACAGCAACGCCGGGCGAGTTCTCCCTGTGGGTGGTCGTGGGAGCAGCGGGCGTGAGGCGAGTGGTGGTGAGGGTGCCGCGTGTGTTCTACCTGAACACGCGTGCGGCGGTGAAGCAGGAGGAGGCACCGGGGGAGCTGGTGTCCCGCACTCTGCCACACGGCCACCCCCTGCTCAACCTGCTCAAGGTGTGCTATGATGCCAGGAAAATGAACGAACGTCTGTGGGCAAAAGAGGAGATTGCTGATGTCATGCATTTGAGTTGCTGTTGCTCCGTCCCTACCTTTGCCCCTCCCGCCCTCCTGCCACCCTGCCACCCTGTCGCTCTGCCATCCTGCCTCTGCTCCCCCACTCGATCTCCATCCTCCACCCATGTTGATCCCCTCTCCACATCCCACCTACCTACTCTCCCCATCGGCCCTGCCTTCCCTTCCCTTGTGCCGCACCCACCCCCTGCAGCTGACAGTGCAGGAGAGCCAGTTCCAGGCGTCCAGGAGGCAGCTCGCTGCGCATCTGGGTGACCCCGACGTTGAGGTGCGTGGGGAAAGAGGTGGGCTGTGAAGATGGGCAATGGGTTGAGGAGGGTGAGGGGGGACGAGGGGAGAGGGAGGAGTTGAGGGGAAGGAGAGTGTGAGGGATGAGAAAGTTGGGACTGCAGTGTGTGTGGTTGAGTGAGTGTGGAGTCTCCGACCCATTGGCCCGTCCATCTTTCCCTGTCACCCCACCCCCTCCATGTGCATGTTGCTCTCCTCGCATGCCCTCACACCGTGTGTGCTCTGCTCTCTCCTGCGGTCCATGCTGAAGCGTGTGCGTAACCCCTATGTGCCATGGCGTGACCAGGGAGTGTACGAGGCACAGGTGCCGCTGCTCACGCACCTGCTGCTCTCCCTCGGCACTGTCTGCTCCGTGGACTCCCGCGCTCGCTCCAAAGCTACTGCCGCCGCCAAGACCACCAACACCACCAGCGGTGGCAACAGCAGCAGTGGAGCATGGGACATGGGGCATCTATCCATGCGCACCACCACCGAGTGCCCCTACCTGCCCTCCATGCTCTCCTCCCGCTCCTTCCTCTACCTCTACCACAGGTACCGCCTCTTTCTCCCTCCCACACATCGTCTTCATTGTCTCTCCACCCCTGGATTCCAGTTCTCCTCCCTCCCATTTTTCTTTCCTCCTCCCTGACCCCGTTTCCCCTTCCTTCCTCTTTTCCTCCCTCCTCTCTCCCGTTCCCCGCTGTGCTTCCTCGCCGTGCCTCACACATCCCTGTGCCTTACACATGCATGACAGCCACACAACCCCCCCGTCCTCCCCCTTCCCCCTGCAGTGGCACGGACACGAGAGCAGTGTACGCGCTGTTCATGCCCTCGCTCCCCGCGCTGCTGCTCCTCTTCGTCTCCCCCGTGCCCACACGTGACGTCACCCCTGCTCACCTGCACCGCCACTTCCTCGCAGCTGCTGCTGCAGCACATGCTGCCAGCCCAGACGTGCCTGCCCCACCTGCTGCTGGCTTCGTGCCTGTCAAGGTCAGCTCTCTCTCTCTCTAATGGCCCTTTCATTGATAGTCAAAGCGTACAGACATGCAAGGTATAAGTCAACGCAAAGGTGGGGCTAGTACTGCCTATACTTCCTATTCTCTCATCCTGCTCTGCATCCTCTAAGTGAGATCCAGTGATGGATCAAGAACCGCGAGGCAGTCCCCAAGGGACGGGGCCTCACCCACTGCTTCTAGTAGCGGGTTTTCAACTGCTGCTGCTATGTTGCACTTTTCCAGGTACCCAATCGACTGCCCACGTTGAAGAGCCACTGACCACCGCTGCCGGTATTGGTGTAAGAGCTTGGCAGCTTGGTAGGAGGTGGGCACGGCGTTGAAAAACCGCCGTGCAGCCGTTTCTGCGAGTAGTTTCAGGAAGTCTACTGACTCTGGGCAGGGACACCCGTATGTCTCGACCGCTAGTGGGAAGAACTTCACCCACTCTGGGCGGTCCTTGTAAAGGCCGTGTTTCTTATCTGCTGCCTCCCGTGCCGCCCACCCCCTCCCCTTGGTGGCGTTCTCATCACGGGTGCTGATGGGGTCCGTTATCGTCACATCGCAGATGTAGACGGTGCCAGTAGAGCGGCAGCGTAAGGCCAGGTCTGCCTTCTTCTCCTCCACTGGGCTGAAGGCGGCCGTCTCGATGTGCACCATGAAGCCTGCATCTTGCGCCATCCGCGCGCACTCATCTCTGAGTTCATTGTGTGTGTTTGTGCGCCCCCCCCCTGTTCCGCACCGAAGCAGGTGATTCGGGAGCCGCTTATCCGGGATCTCCACCTTCTTGGAGCAGTTGCAAACCCCTGGAGCCGCAAAGGGGAGCCCTAGCCGAAACTGGAGCGCGTTGGCATAGTGGGGAGCCTCAAGGCGGAGCGAGGAGTGGATGGGCACTGCGTTTAACCAATCCCCCGCCCCATACCCTGATAGGGACAGCATCCGCTGCGTGTGACCGTTGTTGGGGTTCGGGCTCATCCCCCGCACCTCCTCCACCTGCACCGCATAGCGCTGGCCCTGGATGGCCGTGGCCAGCCCGTGCTGTAGTTTCCCTGCAGTTGGAGCCGATCTCTCAGCCTGAAGAGCTTCTTGGGCCGGAAGCGGCAGTTCCCCTTCACATTCCGCAAGCCATTCGGACAAGGGGGAGGACTCGGTGTAGGGGACACGCATCAGCGCACGCGTGACTTCCAGTGGGCCGGTGCACTCGCTGTCCAGGGAGTCAAGCAGCAGCTGCGCCTGCGTGTAGCTGGCGAGGAAGCTGTAGCTTCCCTCTACTGATGGGTCCGTCAACCCAAGGCCACCGAGCGACACGGGGAGTGAGGCTTGCGCCCACGTGCGTGAAATCTCCTCGTCCCCACGAGGGTGATTGATGGCGCATGCTGTTAGTAGTGTTTCCAGCAGCCTCCGTCCCCACTCAGACCACTCCTCCTTTGGCAGGAAAGGCAGTGGGGTTGTGCGGGCTAGGTATGACACTCGGCGGGAGATACACCGGGAAAGCAGCAGTCCCGCCAGCTGTGGCTCCATCCGCTCAATCAATCCCAGCGGTGCGCCCATCGCCTCCAGGCTGGACCGTATGAAGCCAGTGGTTGCCGTGGAGGTGCCAATGTAGCTGCCCAGCACCTTCAATCCGTCACTGCTGGGAGGGACCCCCTCTGGCAGGCGGTAGTCCGTGGGCGTCCTGCCTGCCCAAGCCCCGCACTTGGCAGGATTGTGGCTGAGCCCGATTTCTGCCAAGCGGCCCGTGAAGTGTGTAAAAGCAGCTGCACATGACGACGGTTCTCCCAGGAAGGTCACGTCGTCCGCGTAGGCCAGGCAGATGACCTCGGGGTGAGCCTCCGCTGCTGCTCTCAAAGCTGGTTGCATGGCCGCGGCAAAAAGAAGGGGGCCGAGGGGATCTCCCTGGCAGACCCCTGTTTCACTGAGCAGGGGTGGGTGGGCGAAGGCTGCATCCAGATGCAGCGTGGAGGGTTGGCCGTACGAGAAATGCACCAACGGCAGCAGCGGTTCTAGCTGCGATCCTTTCAAGGCCGTCGCTATGGCGTGGCAGCTGGCACTATTGAACGCATTGGCCAGGTCGGCCTGTAACACCAGGGCGTCCTGGTTGGCCGCTGTGTAGGTCCGGACAACATGTATGACTGCTTCTGCTCCTCCTGGCACGGCTACTCCGAACTGTAAAGGTAAGAAATACTCTCGTGCCGCGTCCGCTACCTGAGTAAGTGCTGCCTTGGCTGCTAAACGCAGGATGCACTCCCCTATGGCAATCGGTCTCGTTCCTCCATCCGGCTTGTCGAGGGCTATCAAGCGCGAGGCTGTAAGAAGCTTCCCTACTTCCTGGTGCAGCTTCCCTCTCAGGATTGTGTTAACCAATGCATGTAGGTGAGAACCGACCGTGGGTTGTATCAGGGCAGCTTCGCGCAGGTGCTCGAATGTTGTCCCTGAGGGACCTGCACCTACCCCATTTTCACATTTCGAGAGGAGCTTCAGGAAAATTTCCCGTGATACTGCCAGGTAAGTGTCTGGGTCGGGCTGGGGCCAGGATGCGTCGGAGTGCGGGGCACTAGGGTGCTTGGCGCGGAGGGATTCTAAAACCGCAGGTGAGGGCTTGCTGACTGGGGTGGCTTCCAGTGCCATGACTGCTCTCCGTAAGCTGCCACGTCGCGCCAAACCCTCTGCCCTGGATATTATCCCCAGGTCGTCTGGCTGGTGTCTGGGAGGGGGAGGGGAATCCAACGAATCAACCGTCTCCTGGTACAATGCCTCCCATTCCCCTCGCAGGAATTTACGCAATCTTTCCCTGATCGCCTTCCAGTCAGGGTGCCTCGGCGAATGCTGACGCAGCGTCAGGCGAGCCGCAAACAGCAGAATCGTCCAGGCAGGGATGGAGTCTGGGTCGTGTGCTAGTCGTAGCAGTGGTGTCAGCATTACCATAGCGAAAAGTAGGCGCAGTTTTTCCGGCAGGCGTCGTGCCAGCGGAGCGTTGCGACTATCGCGCAGCTTATCCAGATTCCAGGTCCTGACATTCGCGAATAGTGTGTCGTCCCTGGCGAGGGCTTCGGGCGACTTTTGGGGAGGGGGTTGTAGTTGCTGTTGGTTACCCCTCGCTGATGTTCGCGGTACATTTGCAGGTGGCGATGTCAGGTTTGGTTGGGCGGGATGGTTGGTAGTGGTGGCAGGGCGGCGGGAAGCGGTTTGAATTTGTGGTGAGGGTCGCGGCTGGGTGGGTGTGTTTGTGAAATTTGTAGACGCGCCTCGGGCATGGGTTGGGCCGATTCTCCCCCGAGCTGGAGTTTGTGACTGGGCCTCCTCCGAGGCATTCGAATTTGAAGGTGAGTCTGCTTCTTCCTCCTCCGCCGCATAAATGCTACCCGATAATTCGCCTTCTTCATTAGTTCTAACTAAATCGTTTAAAGCCCTTCTTGCTGCTGCCTGGAACGCATTCTCCGGACCTCCTTCCCGAGTGCCCCTGCCACGTCCGCGACCTCCGCCTCGACCCCCTCGTGTCCGCGCGCTGGCCGCGGCCAGCAGGGGACTTTCGCGACTACCTATTCCCGCGTTCTGACACATCCGTGCGTCCTCCAATGCCTGCTGCCGACGCGTTCGCCGAGATGGCGACAGAAGCGGCAAGGTCGGTGGTGGACCTAGGTCACACCGCTGAGAGCGTGCTTGCTCCGCCTCCGGCTCCTGCCGCCCCTGCCGCTGAGGCTCCAACTGCTCCCCCGGTTCCCCTTGCCGCTGCTGCGCCGTCAACGGCCCCAGTCCAACTGGCGTCTGCTCCCCCGCCAAGCCTCCCTCTTCCTCTCGGTGCTCCTGCCCCTGATGCGCCCGCTCGTGTTGCGCCGCAGCCGCCTGCGGCGTCGCCACTTGTCCAAGCTGCCGCCGGCGTCCCTGCGCCGGGGACAGCGGTGGGCGCCTCCCACGACCCCGCGCACCAGGTCGCACTTGCGTCTGCGCCGGTACAGCCCGTCGCGCAGCCGCGCGCGGAGTCCCACAGTCGTGGTGTTGCTGGGGGCAGTGCGGCGGCGCATCGGGGGCGTGGTTCTCCTCGGCGTCGCCCCTCCCCATCGTACCGGAATGCACATCGCGGTGGCCGCGGTGGCTGGTGGGGAGGTCACGGTCGCGGACGTGAGGCGCCAAGCGAGATCCAGCAGTTACGCGACGACTTCCCTGGGATGTTGGCCGCGGCGATGCGCGAGGCACTGAACAGTGCGTCGAATCCTGTGGCTGCCCAGCTCCTCCTGCTCCACACGCGGTTCCTGCGCCGAGTGCTCAGGCGTACCCGCAGGGTCCAGGCCCAGCTGTTGGCCGTGCACCACCACCCGCATCTCGTCCGGTCGCCGCCGCTCCGTATCCCCCTCTTCCATGGATTCCCCCCGTTCCGGACACGGGATTTGTGGGAGCGGGAGGCGGAGAGGCGAGGGGGCCCTTCCGCCCTCTGCGTCGCGTTGATGAAGGTCCGACTGCGCCCCCTCCGCCAGCTCTTCCCGTTCCCGCTGCGGCGAGGCTGACCGGGACGGCTGAAGTTCCCACGGCGACTCTCGCGCAGCTGTGGCGCTTGGTGGAGTGCCAGCAGGCCCTGACAATGATTCTGGTGAATTCGCACTTTGCCATCCTCCGGAACCCAGGGAGCACTCTCGATCCGATGGCGCGAGCTGATTGCTTGGCAGCGGCAGCGCAGTTCGCCTTCCTCCTGCTACCTGTGCTGGGAGCGCCCGCGCCGGGAGGCGTTGCGGTAACGCAGCTGGACCTGACTGTACAGGATCTGACTGGGCACCTCCGTGAAGGAGGCGCTGTTGAAGCGCTTGGCGTGACCGCGTTAGTGGTCCGCCAGATGTGGAGGACCATGCGAGGGATCCTCGCGGCACTTGACGCCCACTTGATGTAGGTTTTGGCGTCCGCCGCACGTAGACGTGCTGCATCTTGATTATCTAGGTGTTGCGCTTGTTGGTTGCCTCCATTGTGTCTTGTTTGTCTTATGCTCTTTTCAGATTGTTGCTTGTCTCC